GCGGGGGGGGGTCTTGTCCTTTGCCCTCAGTCCTCAGACCGAGGTTCCAGGAGGTAAAACAAGAGGTACTCTGAGCATGAACAGAGCCACCCCAACCCGGTAACCTAAGTGCTCAACGGCAGGCCCCGAATTTTCAATGCCAAACTCAAATCCTCCAACGCTCTAATCTTCCTCCTCCACCTCTTCCTCGCCCCTCCCTACTCCGCCGGTCCTCTCCCCACCTCTCCCCTTCCACCCCTCACCCACCGCCAGATTTAAAAAAACAACACAAAAAAAGATTTCCACGTCTTCCCACCCCCCACACCCCCCATGCACTCCTCCGACCCTCTCTCGCCCCCTTCCTCCTTTTCCCCCCCTTTATTATTTCGGCCACCGCGGCTTTATCAACGATGCACGAGGAGTAACGCCAATTGACTTAGAAGGTGTAATCCCCCCAAATCAGATTGGGGGGGATTGCAGGGGGCAGGCTGACCTTGCATATGTCTCCATCAAAGCCACCAAGCCTCGGCTTGTATTTTCTGTTCCCAGCACATATTTAGACAGATAACACTAATTGAACCTGACATGTCCTCTTTAAGGATGGACTCGCCTCTCTCTCTCTCTCTCTCTCTCTCTCTCTCCTCCTCTGAGCTCCTTTGACAAGGAGCTGGCCGAGGAAACTCAGCCACGGCTGTCTCCATCTAGGGCAGGGCAGGCTAAGCTGCTCATAACCCCCTCCCGCTCCTGGGGTTCCAGACCCCCCCAAAAAACTCCTTGTTTCGACCCCGGGAAGGGAGATTCCTGAACCCCATCTGGCCCAATCCCGCTGCTCTCCGGATATTCTCCTTCCTTGGACCGCTGCTCATCAGGGATGAAAAACAGCTAACAAGTCCTTGAAGACATGATTGCTCTTCCCTAAGGAAGACGGTCCAGATGATCTGCATATGCAAATGAGAGAGCCGTAAAAAGGGAGGGGCCTGGGCAAGCTGCTCCCTGAATTACTGGCAGACCTTAATCATATGAAGGGCACTAAAAACGTAAGCCAGGATAGCTCCCTCCAAACTTCCCGGCTCTTCCCACTCTTGCTGCTTATACAATCAATACAACAGATACACAACAGATACAAACTCAATGTAACCAGCTCCAAACTCGATTGCAGGAAGTCCGACTTCAGCAACAGAGGGGTCAAGGCCTGGAATGCACTCCCTGACTCTGTTGTTACATCCTCTAACTAACCCCCAAAACTTTAACCTCAAACTATCCACTATTGACCTCACCCCATTCCCAAGAGGTCTGTAAGGGGCGTGCGTAAGTGCACAAACATGCCTACCGTCCCTGTCCTATTGTTTCTTTTTTAATTCATATC